ATCTGGTTTATTTACTAGCTGTGTGACCCTGCTCAACCAACACGTTTATTTACTAGCTGTGTGATCGTGCTCAACCAACACGTTTATTTACTAGCTGTGTGACCGTGAGGCAAGTCTCTTACAAGTGAACTTCAGTGTTTGAAGATGGGAGAAGCCAGCCATCTCCTCAATCCCCAGTGCCTCTATTTCACTAATAGTATGTTTCCTTCTTTGCTTTTCCATCATTTGAAATCTGTGTCATCTGTATTTACTACTCTTCCTTCTTTATATTTGCACCATGACACCAATCTTTTCCACAAAACCTCATCTTTGGATTCTGTCTACAGTGATCTTTCCTTTCCCTGCCTACATTTGTATTTCATTACTTACTGTTTTGTCTTTTAACTGGTGCATCTGTAGCAGGTGTTTCGCCAACCACATTGTAATCTCTAACATATGCTGACATTCATTCAACAAAAAATATATATCATGACCTCCATGTGCCATTCATTGTTCTAGGCATCTGGAGTACAGCAAGGCACTTGGGGTGAACAAAAAAGACAAAAATCCCTGTCTTGGTGGAGCTTACATTCCAGGTCAGCAGGCAATATGATACCTGGGAAGAATCAGTTCCTACTCAGTGAAGATAAAAATGAAAAGCGAAAAAAGGCCTGGCATAAAAAAAGTTTTCCTGCAAAGTAGAAATTTGAGTGGGAAGGGAGGCAGGGGATAGATAATTCTAGCTAGAACAGGGATTAGAGTGGGAATGAACTGATTGGGAATGCAGGTTGGGAGGGAAAAACCAAGAAACACAAATATGTTGGAAAATAAGCACCTAAGCAAAAAAAGGAAACAGAGTGAGCATGAGTTGCAATGTTTCAAAATTTTTTTTTCCTTTGGACAAGGTGTCCCTATGTTGCCCAGGCTGGTCTTGAACTTCTAGGCTCAAGTAATCTTTTGGAATAGCTGGGATTACAGGCATGTGCCACCGTGCCCCACTGGGTTGCAGTTTTAAAGATCAACTATTTGAGATGACAAGTTAGTGGTCATTAGCCAACAGTTTCAACCATTTTAACTCCTATCCACTAACCTACCTATGCTCCCCACACTCATATACAAAACCTCTCCAAAATCAAGACAAAAAACAAACAGAAAATCAGTGCATACACAAACACACACAGAAAATAATTCCAAACCACAGTCAACTAAATCAAGTCAGAGTACAAGGTAGCTTTGCTTTTGGAGTCTGGCCTTATTCACTACCTAACCGCAGAGCTTCCCCTGTGGCAGCTGTGTGACCTTTAGCCTACATCTACTGTGCCAACAAAGTAGAGAGTAACCTTTGCCCTACTTTTTTTTTTTTTTTTTTTTTTTTTGGAGCTGGAGTTTAGCTCTTGTTACCCAGGCTGGAGTGCAATGGTGTGATCTTGGCTCACCACAACCTCCGCCTCCTGGGTTCAAGCAATTCTCCTGCCTCAGACTCTCAAGTAGCTGGGACTACAGGCGCATGCCACCACACCCAGCTAATTTTTGTATTTTTAGTAGAGACAGGGTTTCACCATGTTGACCAGGATGGTCTCAATCTCTTGACCTCGTGATCCACCCGCTTCGGCCTCCCAAAGTGCTGGGATTATAGGCGTCAGCCACTGCGCCCAGCCTTGTCCTACTTTTTAATTATCTTTGTAATGTAACTCAAGAATACCTACAAAACTTCCTAAGACTACAGTCAGCAGAGAGAGCTGGAACTATGCTAAAACAAAGTTCAAATTTGAAAACATTACTTTGATTGTAACAATCAACAGCTTTTCTCAAGATTCAATGCTGGGAGAAGGAATGGGATTAAGGAAGTGAGAATTAAATTTAAAAATACACCATCTATGGCTGGGCGAGGTGGATCACGCCTGCAATCCCAGCTCTTTGGGAGGCTGAGGCGGGTGGAACACCTGAGGAGTTTGAGACCAGCTTGGACAACATGGTGAAACCCCATCTCTACTAAAAATACAATAAATAAATAAATAAAAATAACTGAGCATGGTGGCAGGTGCCTGTAATCCCAGCTGCTCAGGAGGCTGAGACAGAAGAATCGCTTGAACCTGGGAGGCAGAGGTTGCAGTGAGCCAAGATTGCACCACTGTACTCTAGGCTGGGTGACACAGTGAGATTCCATCTCAAAAAAAACCACCATCTATTAAGATATTTGCCTCTAAATTTATCTCCTGTGAAACTATTTTACTACTTACATAATTAGGAATTTAGATTTAGGAGTGGGAATTAGACAACATATTTTGGTCAAGAAGTGATTTTCATTTGATATTCACATTCAGAATTATAGCACTTGTAGAGAAGGAATGCTTTAAAATTTCAAGAATTACAAGTCTCTCTCAAGAGATTTTTTTTTTTTTTTTTTTTTTTTGAGAGATAGGGTCTCACTCTGTCACCCAGGCATGATCTTGGCTCGCTGAACTCTCCCGGGTTCCAGTGATTCTCTCACTTCAGCTTCCCAAGTAGTTTGGATTACAGGCATGCGTCACCACACCCGGCTAATTTTTGTATTTTTTGGTAGAGATGGGGTTTCATTCACCATCTTGGCCCAGCTGGTCTCAAACTCCTGATCTCAATTGATCTGCACACCTCAGCCTCTGCGATTATAGGCACAAGCCACCGAGCCTGGCCCGGTTTCAAGAGAATTTTATCATCTACCAGCAAAAGTCATAATCTCATTAAATGTTTGGCAAAGCCTTGCACAGACTTTTAGGGTGAGGGATCTATTGAGTCTAAATGGTAATATAAGTGTGCAAGTCATTTTAAATTCATTTTCCAGACTTTTTTCAAAATTTATAAATTGCTATTAAGGGACCAGTAATGAGTGACACTTTCTTTCTTACTGGTGAAAACACAATGCAAAATATATATTTATGTGTCTATATATTTCTATACAGAAAACAGAAAAATTAGGTTAGTAGCTTTTTATTACACATATAAAATATAAATTTACTTTTAAAATTCTCAGGTATATACAATTGAATTTCTTCCAGGCTGGAGTTAATAATATTTACTGAGTGCTTACTCCACGAAAAACTGCTTTATATCTAAAATAACTCCTTCCATCTCACAAGGTGGTGGTTATTTTTCCCCATTTTACAAAAGAGAAAACAAACACGGAAATTAATTACCCAAGGTCACCAGAGGGTAAAAGGCAGAGCCAGGTCCAAACCCAGAAGTCAGACTTCAAACAACGTTTTTAATTGCTCTGCCATGCTACTTCTCATGCAAAGGATCGTCTCAATCATTCATTTTGCAGATGAGGAAAATAAAGCCCATTTAGTTTAAGGCATTTGTCCAAAGTCACACAGCTAGTTAATGACTAGAAACCACATGCCCTGGTTACCACTTCCGAGTGACACCAGCTGCCAATCCATAAGAAATGCTTTCAAACCAATGCTGGGGTAAGATAAAAATTATACATGTGACTTTTCAAAAGTGTTGTGAAAATAGGGGAAAAAAACACCAAACCTGTAAGGAAACATAACCCAAGGCTAACAGTAGGTAAGCATATGAGTAGTAAGACACGGGTGATTCGTTTTTTTTTAAATCCCTTTCGTCAATCCTGACAGCATTTCAATGTTCTAAAATGTGCTTATGTTATAAGTGGCAAATACATGCGACAGTTTTGTGGAGACTAAAAACAGCAGTTGAAAAAAGACAGCAGAAAAATATTCAATCATTCAATTAATGCCCTTGCAGTAAAGGGATTTCAGCTACGTGTCTAAAAAAAGCATACTACTCCAGCGGTTTCGGAGGAGGAGAGAGAGGTAATTCATATTACAAATTAAAAGTTAAAATTCCTAATTAAGTAACTTATTAAGCACAAAAACGTTGTTCACAGTTGACTTTATAGATTTGGGATGGAAGGAAAATGCCAGGTTTCTTGTAACCACCCACTTTAACCCTTTCACTGCCAGTTTGAAAAGGAAAAGCACTAGCTAATACAGGCTGTCTGGGAATCATCAGAAACAAGATTATAAATCGCTCTCAAAACGATCTAACATTTTATTCCTTAAGATAGACGTATTAGTGTATTTTTAAAGTGTGTCTTCCAGTGAGTTGCAGAACCTCCCATTGAAATTCAAAAATACTATATGTTCACACTGGGATTACTGAAACTGCAAGAGTTGAGCTCCCTACTTGAATGTGGTAGTAAGCACAAAAATGGTTTTGAGGGAACCAAGCCAGGGAGGGGGAGTGATCTGCAAGGCTGATTAATTCCACCCAAGAAGCTTTTAAGATAGCTCTTGTTGCGGGTAAGGTGCTGTGGAGCCACAAAGATGCGACAGAATGGATCCCGATTCTCCTGGATCTTCGGATCAAGAAAACAAGAGGGGCGTGAACCCAGAAGTGCGACGCAGGAGACCCGCGGAAAGGTGACAGACCGAGTGGCACTAGACTCAGAAAGTTTGGGAGTTAGGGAGTCTGAAATCGCCGCAGGAGTAGTGAGAGAGGAAGTCACAGTCCCTCCACAAGGACACAGGAAACGGGGATCCAGGGCAGTATTCCCCCCTGAGGGCTGGGTCCCCGGGCGGGGGCCGGCGGCAGCGAAAGGGAGACGCGGCTCCGGGGCCACCCCAGTCCCCGCAAGAGTTCTGCCCGGAGGTCTGGGATGCCCTAGGCCAGGCCTCACCTCGGGAGCGGAGGATCCTGAAGGCAGAGAAGCGGCCGAGGATGCCAATCGCCCGGCAGGCCACCATGTTGAGCTGAAGAGGACAGCAACTGAGAGCGCTTCAGCGTGTGCCGCGGGGCGGGGGACTTTTCCTGGGGTAGCCGGGGCGTCCAGGCGTCCACCGTGCTGCCTGACTAAAACCCAGACGCCGAGTGATCGCTGGCCCCTTAGCCCTGCCCTCGCTTCTGGCTAACGGGATGGAAAGGTCGCTTTCTCCGGGGGAGGACGGGGCCCTAGAGAGGAGGGGGCAGAGTGTCAGGTTTTCCAGTCAGGCGGCCGGAAGGCAGCCCGCGAGGCCAGCAGTACCCGCTGGCTGGATGAGGGGTCCTTTCTGGGCAGGACCCGCCCTTTGGTCCCTCAGAGCCTGGGCACTTGGATCTGAACCTTGCGCAGGGTAGGAGTTCGCGCGGACGTCAGGTAAGGTGAGATGGCAAGCGCTCAGCCCTCTCGCCATAGGCGAGATTCCACTTCCTTCCCCGCAAGTGTCGCGGGTGCCCCCAGCTGCCTCTCCTCCCTGGGAGAGTCGGAGTTGAGGGAGCGGAAGGAAGCTCCTCGGACAAGGTCGGCAGTGCCAGCTGCAGTTAGGACAGTGACTCAGACTAGCGTTGCAGCTTGAGAGAGTGGTGTCACCTGCGTCCTAATTTATCATCGCAAGTTAACGAAGTCTGCGTGTGTTTGGGTGTGTGTCGGCCTTAATGTAATCCTGGTCTTTGTTAGAGTGTGTGTTTCACCTGCTTCGCCTGTAGCCAAGTTGGCGGCTCTAGAGATGTGGACGGCGCTACGGGTTTGCCCTATTTCTGCTATAAAGAATGAGACTAGGTTAGGTGACCTTTCGGGGCTTGAGTGTGGAAGGAGCGGAAACAATCCTCTCCCCCTCGGTAATCCTGGTAATGCAGTGCCCTGCGGGATTTTCCGGTCTGTATGATTATCTGGTCGTTCACACGTTCACTTACTATAGCTGTGAAGAAACTGTACGAAGCCTAAGAATCAGAAGGAGTGATTTTACCCATGGCCACGTGGTAGAAATAAGACTGGAGCCTAAGTCTACTAACTCCTAGTGAAGAGTTCTTCGTTGCATGATAGCTGTTTTTGTGCTGGAAAGATGGGCTGGAGTCCTGAATAGAGTGATTAGTTTCAAAAGGAAGTCACATGGAGAGCTCTGGGCACCTTCATACGTTTTTGTTTAATCTTCACCTTCCCTACATTATTATCGTTTGCATTTTCTAGATGAAGTTTGGGAAGTTCAGATTGTATACATTTTCTGGTCTGTGACAGAGCTAGAATTCAGGCGTAAGTCTGAGTCTCACTACTCACCAGACGGACAGCTCTGCAAGACAGGAAACAAGGGGCAGGAAAATTAAGACTGGAATGGGGAGTATAGAAACAAGTAGAGAGGTTTCTGTTTAAAGATCAAGTTACATAGTGAGTGTTCATCATTGTGAGCACTTTAAGCAGAAACTGGATGATCTGACCACTTCAGAATAAATTGCAAAACGGATTCTTGATAATCTTATAAAGTTTTTACAGTTCAAACCTGCCTCTTGCCCATGTAATGCTTTCTTCTTTAACACCTAACTGCATGTTAACACTTACTATTTAGGTCGGAAGTGGTAATTTTTTTGTTGTTAAAGGTCCAGACAGTAAATAGTTCTGTTATATATTGTTTCTTTTGCTTTGTTTATACCTTTTTTTTTTTTTTTTTTTGAGACGGAGTTTCACTTTTGTTGCCCAGGCTGGAGTGCAATGACGCGATCTTGGCCCACTGCAACCTCTGCCTCCCGGGTTCAAGCGAATCTCCTGCCTCAGCTTCCCGAGTAGCTGGGATTACAAGCACGCGCCACCACACCGGGCTAATTGTTTGTGTTTTTAGTAGAGACATGTTTCACCATGTTGGTCAGACTGGTCTCAAACTCCTGACCTCAGGTGATCCAGCCACCTTGGCCTCCCAAAGTGCTGGGATTACACACGTGAGCCACCATACCTGGCCTTACAACTCTAAAAATGTGAAAAACAAAAAACAAAACAAAACAAAAAAAAGTGAAAAAAATATTTTTAGCTAGAGGCCTATGTGTTGTAGCTTGCCTATCTCTGATTTAGATCACTCGTTTGGCTCCAATTCTTTTTTTTTTCCCTCCCTGTGCTCTCTCCACAAAACTAAATTCCATCAGGCCAAAAATGTTATGTTGCTTTGATCCCTAAACACTTTAGAGGAAAACAGTATGTTGGTATCATCACCCCATTAGTAATAGCAAACACAGGTATACCCCTAACTGTATAGGGCACTGATTTAAGTGTTGTATGCACGTGTGTGCGCATGTGCGTGTGCCTGTATGTGTGTGTGTGTCCTATGTGGTTAAGTAAGTGGCTTAAAGTCATACAGCTTGGTGAATCAGGATTTAGACTTACTCTGGCTTTAGTCGGTTCTCTTAACCGCTACAGTGTGTCTTAAAGATGTAATAATGAGCTCTTAGAGCCAACCCATCTTGCTTTTGCTTTCATTACTTGCCTAGAACGTTCTTCCTTTCCCTTGCTCCCAGGTACCTGCAGCTTGATGTATCTTTCCATAGTTCCACACCCTACTGAGGCATACCACGTGGGACCCTCCCCCCCCCACTCTGGAGTTTCCATGCTTTGAATATTCTTGTCAAAATTTCTATTTTCTGAAGCTTAGCAAATGAAAGAAAGGTCAACTCTGCCATAGGATAATTTGTTTAGTCTCGCTTACCTTTGAAATCTCTATTGTCTTATTAATCATTGAAAGGATACATATTCTGTGTAATTTTTTTATTCAGAAACTACAGAAAAGCCTAAAGAAAATAAAGACATCTATAATTCTACCACCCAGAGATAACTACTTTTAACATTTTGATGTATATTTTTCTGGACATTTTTATGCAATTGTATAATTGTATATGTTTATATAAGATATTGATGTACAGTCAGCCCTTGGTATCTGTGAGTTCTACATCCTCAGATTCAACGAACATCCAAGTGAAAATGTAGGCCTACAATGGTTTTGTGTGTCCTGAACGTGTAGACTTTTTTCTTATTAATCCCTAAACGATACACCTTAACAACTACTTACACAGATTTATATTGCATTAGGTACTAAAAGTAGTCTAGAGATGATTTAAAGTATGCATGAGGATGTGCATAGTTCATGGAAATAAATACTATACCATTTTATATAAGAGACTTGAGCACTCTTGAGGTTTGGTATCTGAGGGCGGTTCTGGAACCAATCCCCTGTGGATACTGAGGGACAAATATATATATAGATTTTAAATAAAAGTGGAATTATGGGCCGGGTGCGGTGGCTCAAGCCTGTAATCCCAGCACTTTGGGAGGCCGAGGCGGGTGGATCACGAGGTCAAGAGATCGAGACCATCCTGGTCAACATGGTGAAACCCCGTCTCTACTAAAAATACAAAAAATTAGCTGGGCATGGTTGTGCGTGCCTGTAGTCCCAGCTGCTCAGGAGGCTGAGGCAGGAGAATTGCCTGAACCCAGGAGGCGGAGGTTGCGGTGAGCCGAGATCGCGCCATTGCACTCCAGCCTGGGTAACATGAGTGAAACTCCGTCTCAAAAAAAAAAAAAAAAAAAAAAAAGGTGGAATTATGCATAAGTAAAATGCTTATTTTTTTTAAATTAAAGAGAACAGAAGAATATTAAAGGCCTGTCTTTATCCCTTCCATATCTAGACTCATAGCTTTATGGACTTTCTTTTCTCTTTCTCTCTTTCTGTCACAAAATGGGTGTTATAGCAGGATTTAGTTACCCATTTCACTATTTTCCAATTATTCTGATCTATTATTCTAATATACATTGTTCTGTAGCTTGCATTTAATATATAGTATGGACATTTTTTCCATGTCAGTCTATATACATGTATATAATTTTGTTTCATTTTCTTTTCCACACTGCCAAACAGTATTCCATGGTGTGTTTATATTATAATTTAACTGTTTCCTATTGATTTGTATTAGATTAGTTCCAGTTTTCCACAAATATAAACAATGCTACAATGAACACCTTATTTCTTTTTTTTCCCCGAGATGGAGTCTTGCTGTGTCTCCAGGCTGGAATTCAGTACGTGAGCCTGTGGATTACAGGCGTGAGCCACCACACCTGGCCCACCTTGAGTATTTCTATAGGCTAGAGACCTGTATATGCTATACATACATTTTGAGTATTTCTGTAGGTTAGAGATCAATAGAAGGCATTATTGACTCAAAAATTCACATTTTAAATTCTGATTGATAACTACAAAACTGTCATCCCAAAAGGCCTTAGTATTTTACATGGCTTCTAGTGTATGGATCTGCTTATTTAGTTAGATGCCTTCTTACTAGAATTATATGTTCACCATATTTTAAATGTTTGCTGATCTGAAAACCACAAAATGATACCTTGCTTTAGTTTAAAAACACACACACACACACACATTTTGTGAGGTTGAACATTTTAAATTTTATTTGTCATTTTCATTTCTTCTGTGTATTGCTTGTTTTCTCATTATTGCTTTTGGTCATGAATCAGGAAGGAGTCTTTCAGTTGCAAATACCAGAAGATTCACATCAAATTGGCTTATTATTGGGCTGGGCACAGCAGCTCACACCTGTAATCCTAGAACTTTGGGAGGTGGAGGCAGGTGGATTGCCTGAGCTCAGGAGTTTGAGACCAGCCTGGCCAGCATGGTGAAACCCTGTCGCTACTAAAAATACAAAAATCAGCCTGGTGTGGTGGCACGCACCTGTAGTCCCAGCTACTCAAGAGGCTGAGGCAGGAGAATCGCTGAAACCTGGGAGGTGGAGATTGCAGTGAGCTGAGATCACACCACTGCATTCCAGCCTGGGCAACAGAGTGAGACTCTGTCTCAAATAAATAAGTAAATAAATAAATAAATAAATAAAGTGGAGGTTGCACTAAACCAAGATTGCACCACTGCACTTCAGCCTGGGCAACAGAGCGAGACTGATCTTCAATCAATCAATCAATCAATAGGATTTACTGGCTCACAAAACTGAAAAGCACAGTGGGAGGGTAGGTTTCAGATGAGATTCCGCCAGGACTCTGGTTTCTTTTTCTGAAATTCTCAGCTCTGTACTCTCCTCTCTTAGCCAAGCTTTGTTAGGCAAATTGCTGTAGTCATGCCAGGCCTCAGAAGGAAAGATTTGTGTTCCACAGTAACAGGCAAAAGACTTGAGTGTTAAACTGAGGAAACCATCCACAAATGAATACCAGTGGTCAAGGCAATACCATGCATGGTTGTTTTAGGTCTTGGTACCTGAATCTTGGCAGAGAGAATGAGATTGTTCTGATTGGTTTAAACCCTGGAGTTGGGCTGGATTCAATCCCATGTAAACCACATACAGCAGCTACATATGGGTGGAATGGATATTGGAGTGAAAACCATGGATTCCATTGTAGATTGTTTCTGTTTTTCTTGTAATTTGTACAAATTCTTTATGGATTGTGGATATCAACTCTTTTCTGTTTCACATGTTACAAATATTTTATCTGAATCTATTTGCCTTTTAACTTTATTTTGGTATATTTTACTATGTGTATATTTTGAATGTCTGTATGATCAGATCTATTAATTACTATTTTCTGTTGTACTTCTGGGTTTTGTGCCATATGTTGAACTCTCTTCTCCATCTAAGTGATAAAAAATATTCCCTGAGGCAGGATATGGTAGCTCCTGCCTGTAATCCCAGCATGCTGGGAGGCAGAGGTGGGAGGATTACTTGAGGCTGGGAGTTTGAGACCAGCCTGTCTCTTAAGTTTTTTTTTTTTTTTTTTTAAATTAGCCAGGCATGGTGGCATGTACCTGTAGTCCTAGCTACTTAGGAGGCTGAAGCAGGAGGATCCCTTGAGCCTAAGAGTTCCAGATTGCAGTGAGCTATTATCAGACTACTGCACTGCAGCCTGGGCCACAGAGCGAGACCCTGTTTCTGAAAAATACGTACATGTATGTGTTATGTGTGTATATATATATATATATATATATTCTCTGATGTTTTCCTCTAGTACTTTTATAGTTAGAATTTATATTTTTAAAATATATACATTTAAATATTTAATCTGTCTGGAATTTATTCAAACTTCTGCTGTGGGCTGTGGACCTAAAATTTTTTCCAAATGTTTAGCCATTTTCCCAGTGAATTCATGGAATAATTTCTTTCTCTCAGTTAACTTAAGTATTGTATTTATTATACACTAAATTCTTTTTTTTTTTCTTTTTTCTTTTTTTTTTTTGTGAGATAGGAGTCTCACTCTGTCACCCAGGCTGGAGTGCAGTGGCGTGATCTCTGCTCACTGCAACCTCTGCCTTCCAGGTTCAAGCAGTTCTCTGCCTCAGCCTCCCAAGTAACTGGGATTACAGGCGTTCACCACCATTCTCGGCTAAGTTTTTTTTTTGTATTTTTAGTAGAGACAGAGTTTTACCATCTTGGCCAGGTTGGTTTTGAACTCCTGACCTCGTGATCCACCCATCTTGGCCTCCCAAAGTGCTGGAATTACAGACATGAGCCACGCGCCCAGCCTTATACACTAAATTCTTATATACATGGGTCTGCTTCTGGACTACTACGTCCTGGTCAGTTGACCAGTGTCATTTATTCCTGTGCTGGAACTGCTCTGTTTTAATTATTAGTGGTTTATAGAAAGTGTTTTGTTTGTTTGCCTGTTTTTCTTTTGAGACAGGGTCTTACTCTGTAACCCAGGCTTCACTACAGTGGCGTGATCACAGCTCACTGCAGCCTCAAACTTCTGGCTCGGGGGTGCTCCTCCCACCTCAGCCTTCTCAGTAGCTGAGACTACAGGCGCGTGCCACCATGCCCAGTTAATTTTTTGTACTTTTGGAGAGACAGGGTCTCACTGTGTTGCCTAGGCTGATATCGAACTCCTGGGCTCAAGTGATCCTTCCACCTCAGCCTCCCAAAATGCTGGGATTACAGGTAAGCCACTGTGCCTGCCCTATAAAGTTTTGATATCTATTAGAACGAGGTCCCCCCTTTTGTTTTTCAACATTTTCTTGACTATTTTCATGAATTTTATTTCAAGATGAACTTTACGTAAGGGAAATTGTATCCCAGACCCTTGTGGTATTGTAAGTAGCTTTGAGTGATGCCTCTCTTGTGGGCCTCTTGTGTTTCTCTGGCTAGAGTCCTTTGAATATCCCTAGGCTGGTGATCCTAAAGCTTGGGTTTCTCCATCTCTTTCCAATCCACATGTTTGGAACATGTGATTTGGTTTTTTTAGTTTTGGAAGCTGTAGGGCATCCTCCTTTGAGTCTCTAAAGACCCAAGAGAAGTTAAACCTTAAAGCTTTTGTATTAATCTATTTATATGTAGCCAATTACTGCCAAATTTAGCAGTTTAAAAGAGTACATGTTATCCATCTCATAGTTTCTGAGGGTCAGGAATCAAGGGCACCTTAGCTGGGTTGTTCTGATTTAGAGTTTCCCATAGCAGTTAGAATGTTGGCCAGGGCTGGCGTCAGCTGAAAGCTTGCCTGCGCTAGGGGCTCTGCTTCCAAGCTCACTCACGTGACTGTTGGCAAGAGGCGTCAGCTCCTCACCACGGGAGCCTCTTCATAAGGCTACTCGTGACATACCAGCTGGCTCCCTCTATAATGAGCTGAGAGAGAGATCACAACAGGTGCTGCAATATCTCGTATAGCCTATCAGAAGTGGCATACCATTACTTGTGACATACTCTTTGGTTTATACATTCTGTGATATGGAGAGGGAGGCAGCTAGACAAGGGTGTGAATACCAAGAGGTAGAGATTATTGGGGCGGGGAGGGCAACTTGGAGGCTGGGTACCAAAGCCTTTGTTGGTAAATCTTATGGGTTTTTTTTTTCTTTTTTTTAAGTTAAAACATGCTTCAAAATACTTGTAAGAAATTACAAAAGATGTGTGATGACTAGTCTTCCACCCCTGTCCCCTAGTTACCCAGTTCCCTTTCTTCCAGCCAACAATTATTTTTAACATCTTTTTTATACTTCCAGGGGGATTTTATACTGATACAAGGAAATGTACATAATATTTTTCCTCTTTTAACATGAAAGCATGCTATATGACTATTTTGCATCTTGCTTTCTTCACTTAATAATATAGCTTAAAAATGGTTCTGTATTGGTACATAATTGTTTCCTTACCTTTTACAGCTGCATAGTATTTCACAGGGGTGTGGTAGCATGGTTTAGTACCCATTTCCCTATTTTTTGGTTATTCTAATCTTTGACTATTACAGTGACAGTATAGATAATGTCCTGTGTGTGAGTAATGTCCATGAAGCCAATTCATGGAAGCGGAATTGCTGGTTCAGACATTAAGTGCAGTTATAGTTTTCTTTTTTTTTTGTTTTTTTTTTTTGAGACGGAGTTTTGCTCTTGTTACCCAGGCTGGAGTGCAATGGCGCGATCTCGGCTCACCGCAACCTCCGCCTCCTGGGTTCAGGCAATTCTCCTGCCTCAGCCTCCTGAGTAGCTGGGATTACAGGCACGCACCACCATGCCCAGCTAATTTTTCGTAGTTTTAGTAGAGACGGGGTTTCACCATGTTGACCAGGACAGTCTCGATCTCTTGACCTCGTGATCCACCCGCCTCGGCCTCCCAAAGTGCTGGGATTACAGGCTTGAGCCACCGCGCCCGGCGCAGTTATAGTTTTCATGGATAATTACCAAATTGCACTCCCCATGGATTGCACCAGTTCTCCTGGCAACAGTATATGAGAGTATCTGTTTGCACATACTCTTACCTACACAGAGTATATATCAGACCTTTGAGTCTTTGCTCCTTTGACAGATAATTACACGTGTGTGGTTTTAATTTGAATTCCTCTTATGAGTGAAACTGAACATCTTTTCATGTATTTAAGAGACGTTTGTATTTCCTTTTCTGTGAATGGTCTGTTCATATTCTGTGCTTGCTTGTCTGCTGGTGTTTTCGTTAGTGATCTGCAGGAACTCATTATTAGAAATTTAGTCTTTTTTGGGGGGTGGGAGGATGCGGTTAATATATTTTATTTTTAACATATACAGTTATTATATGTGTTTCACTTTTTTAATTATTTTGGAACAATACGGTATTAAACTTTGAAAGAAGTTGCATGTGCTGTACTACAAAACTTTTTTTAGTAGCATTTGAGAGTAAGCTGCTGGCTTACTTCACCATCCCTATTTAGTGTGTATTCCCTTCAAATACAAACATTCCACAAAGCTTTCTACATAATCATAGTACAACCTTCAGAACTGTGAAACTAACACTAATGATTTTATGATTATGCCTAGCAGTCTCTCTGCTTCTTTGGCCCCAAAGGAGAGGAGCACAGACTCTGGAGGTAGACTCCCTGGGTTCAAATTCCAGCTCTGGGCCGGGCGCGGTGGCTCATGCCAATAATCCCAGCACTTTGGGAGGCCAAGACCAGTGGACCACCTGAGGTCAGGAATCTGAGACCAGCCTGGCCAACATGGTGATACCCTGTCTCTACTGAAAATACAAAAAATTAGGCGAGCGTGGTGGCACACGCCTGTAATCCCAGCTACTTGGGAGGCTGAGGCAGGAGAATTGATTTAACCTGAGGGGTGGAAGTTGCAGTAAGCTGAGATTGCACCACTGCACTCCAGCCTGGGCAACAAAAAAAAAGAAAGGAAAGGAAAATTCCAGCTCTGCCACTCACACTCACTGGTTGTAGGACTTTGGGCAAGTCACTCAATCCTACTATTCCTCAATTTCCTTAGCTCTCACAAAGGCATGATTGGATAATAATCATGCCTACTTTACAGGTCATTGTGAAGATTAGATGGTTAATGCTTAGAATTGTGGTTGGTACAATATGAAAGCCATGTCAGTGTGTTGCTATTATAATATTATTGGATGAAGAATAGTTGATACTAGATTAAGTTTAAATGTTTTCTAGCAGCCATGAATGAGGTTATCAGAGTTCATAGATGACAATGTAAGCTACGAATTATTCAGCCAACCCAGGATATATTTTTGTTCTTCTCTTTTTAGATTCCAGAATGACTGCCATCTTGACTTACGCTTTTAAAAATCTTCCTACTACATCAAAATGGGCCCTCAAATTTTGTAAGTTTATTATTACTTTTTTTATTTTTAGAGATTGGATTTGGATTTATAAGCATCTCGCACAGATACTGAATGGTATTGCTTTTTGTAAACAGTTTATTTTGTCTTCCAGCCATAAGACCTCTGAGCTGTTCCTCCCAGCTGCGAGCTGCCCCAGGTACAGTAATTTGTAAAATAAACATTTCTGATTTATGTTTAGATTCCAGATTCTGTAGTTCGTAAACTCTGAATAAAAACCAAAACTAATTTCCTGATTCTCCCCTTTTTATGATCAACATGAACATCTCTGTTGCCTTCAAATTAAAAAATTATAGGACCAGTCAGTAATGATACTACATTATTTAAGATTAGGCTTGAGGATGTTGACAGGCGGCTGCTTTCTGGGATTTGAATCTGCTGGAGTCATGGAGGTTTCATAAAGCTCATTGGTCAGTTTCTTTACCCTCTTGCTATCCGTCCTGGAGATGAATGGCATACAAATGCTCTTGAGAGCTGTTATGGAACCAAAAGTTAACTTTTTAAAATTTTAACTTTTAAAAAAATTTGCAATTAGAGAAATGCTTCTCTATTGATGAATATCTTCCTATCTGATAACTCATGCCTTTTGGGAAAAAAAAGAAAAAAAAACAAGAATATCTTCCTATCCCAGGTGCAAGAGTGCCCATTCCTGAAATAAAGGTGATTAGGGAACTAGTTAATAACAGATAGTTGTTTAGTTAATATGAAATGAAAGAGTAAGGAAATGTGTTGATTTTACATCATCATTTTTACCCTCAGTAAACCCAATGAGTTAGGCTTCTTTACTATAGATTTTTACAGAATCTGCTGTATGTTTGTATCTTCGCTGGCTGATGGTAAAAACACCCTGACAAATTCTTAACATTTTTCTCCTTGCTCAGATTCTGTATTGACCCATTCCTTTGATTTTGGTTTTATTTTTATATTTCTACTTGTATAATAACTTAATAGAAAAAATACCTTCCAGGCCAGGCTCCGGGGCTCACACCTATAATCCCAGCACTTTGGAAGGCCGAGGCGGGTAGATCACCTGAGGTCAGGAGTTTGAGACCAGCTTGGTCAATATGGTGAAACCTCTTCTCTACTAAAAATACAAAAATTAGCTGGGTGTGTTGGTGGGTACCTGTAGTTCCAGCTACTTGGGAGGCTGAGGCACAAAAACTTTGAACCCAGGGGGTGGAGGTTGCAGTGAGTTGGGATCACGCCACTGCACTCCAACCTGGGTGACAGTGAGACTTTGGCTCACAAAAAAAAAAAAAAAAAAAGAAAGAAAAAAAATACCTTCCAGGATTCCGAAGACCTGTACTGTCTTCCAGCTCTACCTCTTTCTGGATAGTGTGACCTTGAACTGGTCACTTTATTTCCCTGTGCTTTAGTTTCTTCATCTAAAAAAGAAATATAAGTCTAGCCTTGTCAGCCTCATATAGTTATGAAGATATCTCAAAGCATTTTAAAAACTATGAATTCAATATAAGTGCAAGAATGGTATTTTTCTATTGTTGCCTAATCCCAACTAGACCATGTTATATTCATGTTGTCATATAACAAATACATTTCCTGTGGCCTTTACATTCTAACTAGGATATCGATTTGTATTTATATTAGCCCCATAAGAAATAATTCCTGTCTTGTTTTGCCTTTTCCCTAATTCTAATGTTCACCCAGGTCTTTGCAAAGTCACGCAAATAGACCTGATCCTTGCCAAGTGGGAGAAGGTCATTCTGAACACCAGCAGAGGAAACCATATATCTGGTGTTTAGACTATTCGTCATACTGCTCTGTAACTGGTTTTTTGTTGTTGTTTGTTTTTTGGTTTGTTTTTGTTTTTGTTTTCTGAGACAGAGTCTCACTCTGTCGCCCAGGCTGGAGTGCAGTGGCACAATCTTGGCTCACTGCAACCTCCACCTCCCGGGTTCAAGCAGTTCTCCTGCCTCAGCTTCCCAAGTAGCTGGGTTTACAGGCGCCCACCACCACGTCCAGCTAATTTTTGTATTTTTAGTAGAGATGGGGTTTCACCATGTTGGCCAGGCTGGTCTCGAACTCCTCACCTCAGGTGATCTGCCCGCCTTAGCCTCCCAAAGTGCTGGGATTATAGGGATGAGCCATCGCGCCCGGCCTGTAACTGTTTTTGATGTTTCTGTCTCTGCAACTGTCTTGTAAGCCCTGTGAGTCATTAGCTTTGTGATATCCCTGGTGTCTAACACAGTGTCCTGCAAGTAATTTGTGTTAACACTGATGATAGTGGTGCAAGAAGGCACATGATTAAAACAATGTAAAGTGGCCAGCTGATTTGAGGAAGGAAGCAGGCACCTGCCTGTGCTGAGTAGGTTTAGGTGCAGTCTTGGCTCACTGCAACCTCCGCCTCCCGGTTCGAGTGATTCTTCCGCCTCAGCCCCCCGAGTAGCTGGGACTGCAAGCGCAAACCACCACACCTGGCTAATTTTTTTGCATTTTTAGTAGAGATGGGGTTTCACCATCTTGGTCAGGATGGTCTAGATCTCTTAACCTCATGATCCGCCTGCCTCGGGCCCCGAAGTGCTAGGATTACAGGCGTGAGCCACCACACCCCGCCCCAATTCAGATTCTTATGATTTGTTACTGCTGTGTGCCATAGCTCTGTAGATTATATAAAATGGAGCTGTATTGTTTTGCCCTTGAGGAAATTTTGATGTGCTTAGGAGCCAGTGTGCACATGAGGCAGAACGAGAGTCCTTAGGTGACTAATACATCATAACGAATATATATTTTTTTAATGTGGCTTGTAGAGTTAGTTTAATTACTTTATATTATACTAAATTATGTGGATCAGCCAATTTGTGACCTAGAGTTTGCCCAGAGGTTTATAGGCAGGAACCATTGGTAACTGTAGTTATCAGGGAACGCTTGACTAGGAGATGGAATGTGAACGAGGCCCAAGAGACAGGTGAGAATTAGATGGGTAAAAAAGGGTGCCAGGCAGATAGGAGATCTGTGAGTGAAGGCAAGGAGGCTGACCTGAGCAAGGCTGTAAGGGACTGGGGGCTGGCCCGTCTTGTTCTATTTTGAGAAGTAGTGGAAAATACTTTTGGATAGTTAAGGTGGAACCAAGTAAAGCAGGCTATTTGTTAGAAGAGTTAAGGATTTGAATTTTATCTGAAGGTATATAAAAGGAATATATGGTTAGTTTTTAAAAAGTGGAATGACATGATGGTGTATCATTGGACCTGTCACCTCCAAGGTCAGTCATGAGTAGTCTGCAAATCTTTAAATTTAGTGGCCTGTTTTCAGTCTACTGAAGTAAGGATTCTCCTGGAGGACTGATAGATTTTTCCACCTTGTTCTTGACACTCTCCGGCCTTTGATCTTGTACACTGTTCTCTCTTGATTCTTCTACTACCTCTCAAGTTGCTGTCTCACATCTTCCCTCAGCCTTCTCAGTGTAGGGACATCACAAAGCCAAGGGTCTTTTTGTTGTAGTGATGGACCCTCAAGTTAAGGATGAGAGGGTTTGTGTGTACTACACCTGGAAAGGTGTTAGGAACCAAGCAAGCAGCTCTAGGGACCAGCTTCTTTGTCTCTGTCATGCACCACATGTTATGTCCCTTTCCTGATTTTTCTGCTCCTTTTTGTCCTTATTCCTTCTTGCTGGCTCATTTGCTCACTTATTGTTTACAAACTCTGGCTTACGAATGACTTCAGTTTACTGTCACCCTGGTTCTTCCTCATGGCATCTTTTCAGCTTCAACTAATTGACATTTCTTTCAATGCTTCTTTGCATAGAGAATCTGACCAGCACAGTTGATCACTTGTAGGTAGATGACACTGGTTTCTGGTTGGCTCCTATATGGATGGAGCATTGGTGAGTTTGGTACCTACTCTGAATCAAATCAGCTTTTACATTGACTTAGGGATGTGCCTGTGGCCTTGCTTTTGGCAGGGACTATAAGCAGGGCAACTCCCTTTAGAGGGGGCTGTGGGATATCCAAAACCACACCACAACAAATACCCCTCCCCCACCCAAACAAACAAAAAAAGCATCTGTTATTGTTAAAGAAGAAAAAGGAAATTTAAAAATTAAAGAAGTAGAGGGGGCTGTGGGAGAACGGGCATTACAAAATACATCTCTGCTTTCCTTCTGTATTCTAAGCTTTAGTATCTTGTGACTTACTAATCTAGACTCACTTCCCTTCATAGGTTTTACTTTGCATCTTCTAGCTACTATGGAATTAACATATCCACCTGGATGTCTCTCTGTCACCTCAAAGTTAGCGAGTTTAAAAATGAGGTGGGCATGGTGGCTCACACCTGTAATCCCAGCACTTTGGAAAGCCAAGGCAGGCGGATCACTTGAGGGTCAGGAGTTCAAAACCAGCCTGGCAAACAAGGGGAAACCCATCTTTACTAAAAATACAAAAACTAGCCAAGTATGGGTGACAGGCGCCTGTAATCCTAGCTGCTCAGGAGTCTGAGGCAGGAGAATCACTTGAACCTGGGAAGTGGAGGTTGCAGTGAGCTGAGATCACACCACTGCACTACAGCCTGGGTGACAAAGTGAGACTTTGTCTCAAAAAAAAAAAAAAATGAAGTCAGGCCAGGCACGGTGGCTCACGTCTATGATCCCAGCACTTTGGGAGGCTGAGGCGGGTGGATCATGAGGTCAAGAGATCAAGACCATCCTGGTCAACATGGTGAAACCCTGTCTCTACTAAAAATACAAAAAAAAAAAATTATCTGGTCATGGTGGTGTGTGCCTGTAGTCCCTGCTACTCAGGAGGCTGAGGCAGGAGAATTGCTTGAACCCAGGAGGCGGAGGTTGCGGTGAGCCAAGATCATGCCATTGCACTCCAGTCTGGGTAACAAGAGTGAAACTCCATCTCAAAAAAAAAAAAAAAAAAAGTAGTCACCTTTTTTTTCTAAAACCAGTTCTCACTTTGTTTTGGGTAGCTAGGTTTTCTTAGACTCTCAGCTTCCTTTATAATCCTGATTTCCTCTTTCTTTTCTTTCTATCTGATTGGTTGCCAACATAACTTGTTTTCCCTTATAAACTCTCTTATATTGGTCCCTTCCTCTTCATTCACGTTGATACTACCTTTACTCTGGCCTTTTGCACCACATACTTGGGTTTGCCGGTCTCTTTGCTTACCTCCTTGTTGCCTTTATTTCCTTCACCAGCAGCACATCTCCATGAATGCTGCCAGAGTCATCTTTACGCCCTATTTCCTTATTTTATCATGACCATTAGCTCTATTATTTCTTTCAACTTGGTTGTAGATGTTTACTATAAATATTTGTCTGTGACGTTGACAGGTGTGGTAAGGTGGTTGTTGACATTGTATTCCCAGTAATTTAGGATTTTTTTCTAATGAAGGAATGATGATGAAGTAGGTAAATTCCAACATTAACAACAACAAGAAAATAATGAACTAGATTTTGATATATCATGGAAGGCTCTTCCAGCTATATTGTTAAGCCAAAAAAGCATACATAATGTAGAAGTATATGCATGTAAATGAACTAAAAGAAAAGATTTGAAAGTATATACACCAAATAGACTTTACCTCTCAGAAGAAAATAATATGCCAGGGGAAGACATAAAGAGGGAACTTTGGTTTTTACTCTCCAGTTTAGTGTTATTTACTTTTTTAAAAAACCACAGGCACATGTTTATATTTTATTCTTTAAGTAACCTAAAGGAAGTTTGCCTTTTTAAGATTAAAAAGTATTTAGGCATGTAGGTTTTTGCAGAATAGCAAGTCACCAACCAAGGGCCCTTTATTTCCACATAGAAAGGTAAGAACATCAAGCTATGTGAAGAATGAACAATATCAATTATTGCACCTTCTAATATTAAGGGTAGATTTGCATGTAAACTTGGTTACTTCTAATGAAATAGGTTGTCAAACACTTAATAAAAACAAACTATTTTGTTAATGGCATAAATACTGTCATCATTGGATATAAGTTTTGTTTATCTTAAATATTATTTAGAAACTTACAAATGCTAGTCAATTTCTTAGCCTTTAAAAAAAAATATATTAAAGTGGTTTAGTAAATGGCAAATGCAGGTTGGCATTAATAGTGTAATATTCTTAAAATGACTGTCTTAAAAAATGTAAAAGTCAGCCAGGTGTGGTGGCTCATGCCTGTAATCCCAGCACTTTGGGAGGCCAAGACGGGCAGATCACCTGAGGTGGGCAGATCACCCGAGGTCAGGAGTTTGAGACTAGCCTGGCAAACATGGTGAAACCCTGTCTCTATAAAAATTTGGCTAGCATGATGGCAGGTGCCTGTAATCCCAGCTATTTGGGAGGCTGAGGCAGGAGAATTGCTTGAACCCGGGAGGTGGAGGTTGCAGTGAGCCGAGATGGCACCATTGCACTCCAGCCTGGGCGACAACAAGACTCCATCTCAAAAAAAAAAAGTAAACATCATCAGACTTTATATATTTTAATTAGTAGTTTTTTCTTTTTAACTTTATCTTAAAGCCGTCCAGACCAAAACGAAGAAGACGTTAACCAAACCCAATATAAGGAATATTGTGGTGGTGGATGGTGTTCGCACTCCATTTTTGCTGTCAGGCACTTCGTAAGTATGACATGATTGTGTTATACTTTTCCTTCTTTTAAGACACTTTCAAAAGTGGTCTTTGTAAATGTAACCCAGTAGGTAATCATATTGTTAGTGGACTAATATTTGGATAGCAGTCCCATAAAATTAATATAGAATAGGTTAAGGCAGTGGTGAAATAATATGGCAATATTTGTTTTTCATCCTTCTCATGAATAAGCCTCGTATAGCTTTACTTGAAACAGCTCTATTTTGAAAGCCTAGAGGTCCGTATAGCTTTCTTCCAACAGAGCTATCCTTTGCTTTTCTGGAGACAAGTACATGGTCTCTGTGCCTCCTCAAAAGTTTGAGTGCTGAAGATGTGGCCTATGGGCATTCTGAAGGGCCTATTTATAATCCACTGGTTTGGCCTCCTGGAAATTATTAAAATTGGAGTTGATAGGGCTGATCCAAACCCCTGGATAGAACAACCACAAGTGTATGGGACCAGAATGATCCTAGACCAGCTCCAGAATTTCCTAGATCCAAACTGCTCTTCTTTTTGTCCTTTTATGCTTCTTTTCTGTCCCCAAGTGAGGGTTAGTCTATCCAAAAGCTGATAATGGACTTTGATAACAAGGTTTAAACTGTTCATTCTATTCTGTTTAGATTGTTTTATTGTTTATATTTTGAATAGGTAGTTGCCAGCTTTAAAAAATGCTGCAGAATGTTAGGCATCTGTTAAAAATAATGAGACCTATCTTTATGTACTAACATGGAAACCTAAGACCTTGAAGATATGTGCTATAATAGAAGATCATTTTCTAAGTGGAAAAAGTCTTTTTCTGTTTAATTTGCAGAAACATTGCTTTCAACTTGAGTGTTATTTGGAAGATCAGGTTCTTAGGGGTAGAGGCATTTGGGAAGCACTTCTGGGAATAGACTCTAGCAGTGGAATTCAGAAGTCTGTCAATCAGGTAGAGGAGTGTGACAGTATGAGAATAAAGATTGTAAAAGATAAGTTGGGTGGGTGTGGTGACTCAGGCCTGTAATTCCAACGCTTTGGGAGGCCAAGGTGGGCAGATCACCTGAGGTCAGGAGTTCAAGACCAGCCTGGACATCATGGTGAGACCCATCTCTACCAAAAATACAAAAATTAGCCAGGTATAGTGGCGTGCACCTGTAATCCCAGCTACTCAGTAGGCTGAGGCGGGGAGATCCCTTGAGCCTGGGAGGCAGATTGCATCACTATACTCCAGCCTGGGTGATGGAGTGAGACTTAAAAAAAAAAAAAAAAAAGAATTGTAATTGGTAAGTAATTTATGACGTAGGCATTTTCAGATTGATAGGACTTTTCTCCAGATCAGTCTGTTCTGAATTTGAGGAAACTGGATTTACCTATGAAAAATTTGGAAAACTACTCATGGTTCTTCTGTGATTCAGAGTGAAAATGAAAGTAAAAATATTTTGGAGAGATCCAAGATGGCTGATCACTAGCAGCTCAGGATTGCAGCTCCCACTGAAAGAGCAGAGAACGAGAGGACGCCACACTTTCAGATCAATTTTTGTTGCTCACGCACCAGGAGATTCCCAGTGGAGGAGCCCCACGTGTCACCAGCGCAACTGTTGAGGCCGGTGATGCAGTTTTGCTGCTGCCTGGTGTGGCAGTTTTTGGTGCAGAGTCAGAAAAGCACCATCAATCTTAAAGCCGCTGTTTTGGCCGGCACAGTGGGTTGCTCAGATTCTAGCGCTGGGAATCAACAAGTTGGACGTCCATTCAGAAACCCAACTATAAAAACGGTAATTATAAAGACCACAGATGGATAAATTTATAACGAAGGGAAGAAACCAGCCTAAAAAGGCTGAGAATACCCAAAATCAGAATGCCTCTCCCTCTACAGGGGATCACAGTTCCTCATCAGCAACAGAACAAGACCTGATGGAGAAAGACTGTGTTCCATTAGCAGAAGCTGGCTTTAAAAAGTGGATGATAAGAAACTTCTGGGAATTAAAGGAACTTGTTCTAACCCAATGCAAAGTAACTAAGAACTTTGAAAAAAAGTTTGACGAAATGTTAACAATAACACACAATTTAGAGAGGAATATAAGTGAATTAATGGAGCTGAAAAATACAACACGAGAACTTCGCGAACTATGCACAAGTTTTAATAGCCGAATTGATCAAGCAGAAGAAAAGATATCAGAGGTCGAAGACCAACTTCATGAAATAAAACAAAAAGACAAGATTAGAGAAAAAATGATAAAAAAAGAACGAGCAAAGTATCCAAGAAATATGGGACTATGTGAAAAGACCTAATCTACGTTTGATAGGTGTACCTGAATGTGATGAAGAGAATTAATCCAAGCTGGAAAATACGCTTCAGGATATTATTCAGGAAAACTTTCCCAACCTAGCAAGGCAGGACAATATTCAACTCCAGGAAATACAGAGAACACCACAAAAATATTCCTCAAGAAGACCAACCTCAAGGCACATAATCGCCAGATTCACTAGGGTTGAAATGAAAGAGAAAATACTGAGGGCAGCCAGAGAGAAAGGTCAGGTTACCCACAAAGGGAAGCCCATCAGACTCACAGCAGATCTCTCAGCAGAAACCCTACAAGACAGAAGAGAGTGGGGGCCAATATTCAACATCCTTAAAGAAAAGAACTTTCAACCCAGAATTTTACATCCAGCCAAACTAAGTTTCATAAGCGAAGGAAAAATAAAATCTTTTGTGAACAAGGAAGCACTCAGAGATTTCATCACCACCAGGCCTGCTTTACAAGAGCTTCTGAAAGAACCACTACAAATAGAAAGGAACAACCAGTATCAGCCTTTCTAAAAAATACCAAAAAATAAAGAACATCATCATAATTAAGAAATTGCATCAACTAATGGGCAAAACAGCCAGCTAACGTTAAATGACAGTATCAAACACACATATATAGACCCATTGGTATGCTACATCCAGATCCATCTCACATGCAAGGATATACAAAGACTCAAAACAAAGAGATGGAGAAAAATTTACCAACCAAATGGAGAGCTTAAATAAATAAATAGAAACCAGGAGTTGCAATTTTTGCTGATAAAATAGATTTCAAAGCAACAAAGATCAAAAGAAGCAGAGAAGGATATTACATAAAGATAAAAGGATCAACGTAACAAGAAGAGCTAAAGATCCTAAACATATATGCACCAATACAGAAATACCCAGATATGTAAGACTTATAAAGAGACTTGGACTCCCACACAATAATAGTGGGAGACTTCAACATCAATATTAGATAGATCAATGAGACAGAAAGTTAACATTGATATTTAGGACTTGAACTCAGATTTGGAACAAGTAGACTTAATTAACGTTCATAGAACTCTCCACTTTAAATACACAAAATATACACTCTTATCAGTACTACATCACACGTATTTACAGGTTTAAATGAAATATTGGTTGGCTGCTTGTTAATTATTTTCTTCCCTCATTTTTTTTAATGTCTCTATTATTAAACACAATTACAGGCATACCCAGTTTTAGACTGCATTCTAGCCCGGGCAATAAAGCAATACCCCTGTTCTCTCTCCCTCTTCCTCTTCCTCTTTCTTCCTTTCCTTTATTCTTTTTCTTTATCTTTTTCTTTCTTTCTCTCGTTCTTCCTCTAAAAAAAAAATAGCTAAAGCCTCAAATCAACAATCTAAGCTTTTGCTTTAATGAACTAGAAAAAAAGAGAGCACAATAAACCCAAATCAAACAGGAAAAAAAAAATTTATAGTTAACTTCATACTTAATAATGAAAAAGAAGATGCTTTATCATTAAGATCAGGAGCAGGCCAGTATAGCCCCTCTCACCACACTGTTTCAACATAACATTGGAAGTCCTAGCTAATGCAGTAAGACATGAAAAGGAAATAAAATGTATCACATTGGAAAGAAAGTCACAAAATTCTTTTTGTTTGCAGATGCCTTATTGGTTATATTAAAAATCTAAAACATTAACAAAAATACTTCAAAATCTAAGAAGTAATTACAGTAAGTTTTCAGTAAAAACCACAAAAAATTAATATACGGAAATCAATCGCTTTTATATACAGCAGCAATGAAGACTGCATTTAAAATTAAAATCACAAGACCTTTTATATCAGCACCCCCAAAAACATTCAGATATAAATATACCACGTATGTACAAGACCTATATAAGGAATACTATGGAACTCTGATAAAAAAAATCAAAAATTAAATAAGTTGATTCTATGTTCCATGGATTAAAAGAGTCAGTGTTCTTAAGATGTCAGTTCTTCTCAACTTGATTTATACATTTAATTTAATCCCAATCAAAATCTCAACAAGTTATTTGTGGATAGCAACGAACTTATCTAAAGTTTATACAGAAAGTCAAAATATCCAGAATAACTAATACAATATTAAATGAGAAGAACAAAGTTGGAGGACTGACACTATTCAACTTCAAAACTTACTACAGTAAACAAGGAAGTATGACACTGGTGAAGTAATGGAGAAACATTTGAACAATGGAATAAAATAGAAAGTCCAGAAATAGACCACCACCTATTTAGTCAACTGATCTTTGGGAAAGGAAAGGGGCAATAGTAGAAAAAATACCGTTTTTCAACAAATGGACATCCTCATGCACACACACACACACAAAAAGATTCTAGAAACAAACTTTACATCCTTCACAAAAATTCACTCAGGATGGTCTGTAGACCTAAATGTAAAAAAAAAAAAATATATATATATATATATATATATATATATATTTTCGAGTTCTCAAGTTTTAATTTTCAGGTACTTGAAGAATGAATCTTATTTAATCCAGTGATTAAATCTTTGACTTAAAAATAAGGAGAATTTATTTTTGATCTTTAAACAAACAAACAAATAAATAGAGTTCAAACCCAGATCTTGGTTTCTATTTTTTTTTTTTTCTTTTTTTGAAAAGAAGTTTCACTCTTGTGCAGGCTGGGAGTTCAGTGATGCGATCTTGGCTCACTGCAACCTCTGCTTCCTGGGCTCAAGTGATTCTCCTGTCTCAGCCTCCTGAGTAGCTGAAATTACAGGCATGTGCCACCATGCCTGGCTAATTTTTTGTACTTTTAGTAGAGACAGGGTTTCACCTTGTTGGTCAGGCTGATCTTGAACTCCTGACCTCAGGTGATCCACCTGCTTCAGCCTCCCAAAGTGCTGGGATTATAGGCGTTAGCTACCTCACCTGGCCTTTCTGAATAGCATTCTTCAATACAAAGAACCAGAGCTCCTTTGAAGAGTGATCAAGGCTGAGCCAGAGAAAAGACAGGATGAGCAGGGAGAACTTGGAGTGCCAGAAAGCAAGGAAGTACTTAAAAACCAGGGTGGGGGGTGGTCATGTCAAAAGGACACAGAACTGACCTGCAGGAGCTACCAGTCACCAAAGCTGCAATGATTTGAGCAATAAAATACATTACAGTAGTTTTGGAACATAACCGAAAGAATAAAACAAATGCCCATGAATCTAATCCGAAATAAATAAATATACTTTGGGAGGCCAAGATGGGTGGATCATTTGAGGTCAGGAGTTTGAGACCAGCCTGTCCAACATAGTGAAACCTCGTCTGTACTAAAAATAGAAAAATTAGCTGGGCATGGCGGCAGGCGCCTTGTAATCCCAGCTATTCGGAAGGCTGAGGCAGAAGAATCGTTTGAACTCAGGAGGTGGAAGTTGCAGTGAGCTAAGATGATGCCACTGCACTCCAGCCTGGGCAACAGAGTAAGACTCTATCCAAAATAAATAAATAAAAATAAATAAATGACAAGGAATAAATATTCCTTACAGAAGAATTTTAATTAATAAATACAAGAGGACTGTGTATAGTGGTTTACACATGTAATCCCAGCATTTTATGAGACTGAGGTAGGAGGATTGCTTGAGGCCAGGAGTTTGAGACTGAAATGGACAAAGTGAGACTCCATCTCTGCAAAAACTGAAAAATGAAAAATTAGCTGGGTGTGGTAGCGGACACCTGTAGTCCTACCTGCAAGGGAGGCCAAAGTGAGAGGATTGCTTGAGCTCATGAGTTTGAGGCTATTCTAACTCTGATTGTGCCACTGCATTCCAGCCTGAATGACAGAGTGAGACCCTGTCTCAAAAAATAAAAATAAATAAGACAAAGAATGAGGAAAATAATCATTAGAATATCACATAATACTTGCTGCAAGATCTGCAAATGAATGCTAAAATTAGGTGAAATGTTAAGAAGAAACAGAATATTTGCACAGTCAGATTATCTCCCCCAAAATATTTATCAATTACTGTGATGATTTCAATATATGTCAGCAAAGTTGTTCTGTTACTAAGAACAGGAATGATACCGAGCTCGGATTTGTAATTTGGAGGCAGGTTCGCGAGAAGAAAACACCAGGCCGGGAATAACAAGGTAAAAGAAGAGAATTTTATTTACAGAAGGTTATAGGTAAATGAAGAGGATTTTATTTACAAAAGGTTATAGGTAAAAGAAGAGGATTTTATTTACAAAAGGGACATACCCAAAGACCGTCCGTCCGGACACTCAGCACTGGCGTTACAGCAGCACGAGCAAAACGCAAGTCAGAACTTTAAGCACTCTCCTTTTCAGCACCGGCGTTACAACAGCATGGGCAAAGCGCAAGTTACAGCTCTTAGCAATCTCTTTGTTTCTCTCTCTCTCTCCCTCTCCTCAGCACCGGCAATACAGCAGCACGGGCAAAACGCAAGTTAGAACTTTAAGCAATCTTTTTGTCTCTCTCTCCCTCTCTTTTCAGCACCGGCATTACAGCAGCACGGGCAAGGCGCGAGTTACAACTTTCCGCAATCTTTCTCTTCCTCTCTTTTTCCCTCCTTCCGTTTTTTCTTTGGTTTTTGTCTATATTTTATATGTTGCAGTTCAACTTAGGTTATAGTAAACACCAGCTGCTCTTTGTCTTGTCTCTCACGAACATTATCATTATGTAACAGCAATCCTTGGCTTTGTTTACGGTTCTCAAAGAGACGGGAATTGGCCAGATTCCCGGCTCCTCGGACATAAGCCAGGGTCATCATGAGCTCCTAATGCCCCGGGCTTACTGCCAAAGAAATGATAACTTTAGCTCCCAAGGTCCAAGAAACTTAGAGCAAACACTGGGCATGACTTTTTTTTTTATATTAACCCTACAAAAGTCTATGTTATTCCTGCCATTAGAAGGTGCAACTTAATTCTCCCCTTGAGTAGGGGCTGGACTTAGTGACTCACTTCTAACAAATTGAGTAAAAGGAAAAAATAATAACTTTATAGTGGAGTAAACTGGCAGATACCACTTGACCCAAATGATGAAGTTAACATCACTGGTAGTAAGTCATGTTGATATCACATATCCTGCCAGGTGTGTACTGCAGACCCTGGCCGATGGATGAAATGAGTCCTCAGACGCAGGTATGCTATGTAAGAGCAGCTAGGAAACTGCCTGACTCTAGTGGCCAGAGAACAGCCTGGAGAAGCTGGAGCTGCTTACTTTTGTTTAGTGCAGGCACAATGCTGAAAGCCTATAGCTAATACAACCTATACAAATTAATATTCATTGTTCCCTTTCCAGGGAACATCATGCGGATGATCAAAGGTCAGTTCCTGGTCAACATGAGTAAACAAAAACAAACTTGTTTAAGATAAATTCTCCCACACTCCCTTGTACCTTCTCCTTGCGTTGCCTCAGGGTTATAGAACAGCTGCCTTCAGCTTTCTGACCTTTCAGAAGGCCTGCTCCTTTCCCTGTAGTGTCTCCCACCACTCTGACTGATCTCCTTTATCTCTGCTGATATAAAGCTAAGAGAAATACAGCTTACCTCTCTGATATTCTTCCCCCAAATCTGTAACCCCAGTCTTCAAAAGTGTCAAGGTCATGAAAGACAAGGAAAGACTGAGAAACTGTCACAAATTGGAGGAGTCTAAGCAGGCATGGCAACTAAATGCAACATGGTATCTTGGATTGAATCCTGGAACAGAGAGGGTAGTTAGTAGCTTAGTGAACAGTATTGTGCCAGTGTTCATTTCTTAGTTTTAATAAGTACATCATGGTTATATAAGATGTCAGTATCAGAAAAAGCAGGGGGAAAAAGGAACTCTGCTCTCTCTTTCCAATTCTTATTTATTTATTTATTTATTTAGACAGGGTCTTGCTCTGCTGCCCAGACTAGAGTGCAGTGGTGTGATCCTAGCTCACTACAGCTTCAAATTCATGGCCTCAAGCAATCTTCTCACCTCAGCCTCCTGAGTAGCTAGGACTACAGATGCATGCCACTACTCCTGGCTAATTTTTAATTTTTTTTTGTAAAGACAGGATCTCACTTGCTATGTTACCCAGGCTGGTCTTGAACTCCTGGCCTCAAGCAGTCATATCACCTCAGCCTCCCAAAGTGTTGGGATTCTAGGTGTGAGCCACCATTCTCAGCCTCTTTCCAATTCTTTGGTAAATCTCAAGTTACTTAAAAGCAAAATGTTTCTTCAAAAGTCCTAATACATCACCTGTAGCCCTGTAGGCATTACAAAATCAATACATAGTATACTTTTAAAATAAAATGTTTAAAGGAAAAGAGACCTCAAAGGTGGGGTCACTTTAAAGAAAATTTAGCATATGTTGTGGTGAACATTAAGGTATTGGACAAACATTTTTGTTGGATTCTTAGCAAGCTCAGCAGGGGTTAATGCTTGCTAGATTTTTAAGGATGACAAATAGTGAAGTCACACTATTTCTTCATTTGAAATGATGGACTGCCTTGAATAGTAAAGTTAAGTGTGTTTGTAGCAGCATGTGTTTGATGATCTCTGGGTATTTCAAATAGAATGAAAATTTTTCATTGAAGCTCTAGGGTTTGGTTTAAATTATTTTTTTTTTCTTTCCCCAGGTATAAAGACCTGATGCCACATGATGTGGCTAGAGCAGCACTTACGTAAGTAAATGCAGTTTTATTTCAGTTCTTATTTCATTAAAGGCACTTTCTCTGGTTTTTACATATAAAACAGCAATTTGTTCTTATTTTAGCCATCTGTACTACACAAATTTAAGCAGCTTATGAATATCGGCAATATTTATTTTGTAGGCTTAACAGTGTCTTAGCATGACAGTAAATTTTAATGCTCCCTTAGCTAGCCACAGGACTCTATTGATCAGCCTAAACATATATTTGATGACTGCCTTAGGAATTTGTGTAAGGGTAGCTGAACAGATTCTGTAGATACTTACCTAGAAAGAAGTATAAAAGACACTTGAAGATTCATGTGCAAACCAAGTAAAAATGTAAAATTAGATGTAGTTAAATAAGATTGGGCTAGATAAATAATTTGGTGAGAGTCATTAAATATGTTACTGTTTCTGGGATGGAAATAACATATAAGGGATTATCTCATTCATTTTTCATTGACACTTTGCCTTTGTGTCTTCTTTTTTTTTTTTTGAGACGGAGTTTCGCTGGAGTACAATGGCACTATTTCGGCTCACCGCAACCTCCACCTCCTGAGTTCAAGCAATTCTCCTGCCTCAGCCTCCCGAGTAGCTGGGACTACAGGCGTGCGCCACCATGCCCAGCTAATTTTTTGTATTTTTAGTAGAGACGGGGTTTCATCATGTTGATCAGGATGGTCTCGATCCCTTGACCTTGTGATCCACCCACCTTGGCCTCCCAAGTGCTGGGATTATAGGCGTGAGCCACCGTGCCCGGCTGCCTTTGTGTTTTCAGCTAGCCACAATTATTTGTTAGTTTGTAGAAACCTTCCAGTTGACCCTTCTACCCATTCTGACTCTGTTTTTTTTTCCTACTCTTCCTGCAAGACGTCAACCATGAGTGAACGTAGCAGTTATTTCTGTTTCCTTACTATAAGTTTCCTTTGTCTGATTTTATAATACCTATTTTCATTCTCCCTTCGTTTTATAGAAACTATACTTTGGTATCTTCGCTTAATAATGGTTTTGTGATTGCTAAATGTACTGATTTTAGTCTTCTGTCTCTGTACTTTATAGCACTTGACACTTTAAGCTGTACTCACTTGTCTTCTGTCGACTTCTTAGTAATATGCCTTTATGATTTTTCTTCTGTATCCTGACTGATTCTTCCCTATCTTTTAAAAAAAGCTGGATCGGCTGGGCGCGGTGACTCATGCCTGTAATCCCAGCACTTTGGGAGGCCAAGGTGGGTGGATCACTTGAGGTCAGGAGTTCGAGACCACCCTGGCCAACATGGTGAAACCCCGTCTTTTTAAAAAAAAAACAAAGCCAAAAAAAAAAAAAAAAACCTGGATCTCTCCCTCTTTCTCTTTTTTAAAGGCATTTTGCAAGTCTCATTCCTTAGAGCTTTGCATTTCTCTGTATGCATACTTTCCTTTAAAAATCTACTAGCCTGAGCCGGGCGCGGTGGCTCAAGCCTGTAATCCCAGCACTGTGGGAGGCCGAGGCGGGTGGATCACGAGGTCAAGAGATCGAGACCATCCTGGTCAACATGGTGAAACCCTGTCTCTACTAAAAATACAAAAAATTAGCTGGGCATGGTGGCGCGTGCCTGTAATCCCAGCTACTCAGGAGGTTGAGGCAAGAGAATTGCCTGAACCCAGGAGGCGGAGGTTGCAGTGAGCCGAGATCGCGCCATTGCACTCCAGCCTGGGTAACAAGAGTGAAACTGTCTCAAAAAAAAAAAAAATCTACTAGCTGGGTGTCATGTCTCACGCCTATAATCCCAGCACTTTAGGAGACCAAGGCAAGAGGATCAAGGTAGGAGGATCTTTTGAGCCTGGGAGTTTGAGACCAGCCTAAGCAACACAGCAAGACTTCATCTCTACAAAAAAAATTTTAATTAGCCAAGCAAGAGAATTACTTGAGCTCAGGAGTTGAAGGTTGCAGTGAGCTATGATCCAACTACTGCACTCCACACTAGACTCTCTCTCAAAAAAAAATTTTTTTTTTCAAATTCATAATTTATTTTTTTCTGGACACAGTTTCACTCTGTCCAAGGCTGTAGTGCAGTGGCGTGATCATAGCTCACTGCAACCTGGAACTGCTGGCCTTAAATGATCCTCTCACTTCAGCCTCCCAGGTAGCTGGGACTGTAGGTGTGAGCCAATGTATCTAACCCTCTTTTAGTTTTTTTAATTGATAAGTTTAGTCATCACTCATTTTGAAGCTCAGCTTATTCTACATTTTATCTGTGGCGCTCCTTCAAGTTGGCCCCTGTGTGCCTTTTGTTTTTTATTATAACACTGGTTTTTGATGTATAATTTGCATGCAATAAGATGCACAGATTTTAACTGTGTAGTTTGATGAGTTTTGATAAATGTATATACCCCATGTTCCTGTTTTTGAACCATTGTCTTTTATTCTTCTTCTTCAAAACAGAGTTTCCCTCTTGTTGCCAGGCTGGAGTGCAATGGCACAATCTCGGCTCACTGCAGCCTTCGCCTTCTGGGTTCAAGCAATTCTCCTGCCTTAGCCTCCCAAGTAGCTGGGATTACAGGCGTACACCACCATACCCGGCTAATTTTTTTTTTTAGTAGAGATGGGGTTTCACCATGTTAGCCAGGCTGGTCTCGAACTCCTGACCTCAAGTGATCCGCCCCTGCCTTGGCCTCCCAGAGTACTGGGATTACAGGCATGAGCCACTGTGCCCAGCTGATATGGTCCCATTTGTCTTTGAGTGCTTCCTTACTTTTGGCACAAAAAAGGTGGAGATTCACTTTGTACTTTCCTTAGGACCTGGTATCAGTCATTTCTTAAAAAACCTTTTGTCTCTTTAATGGAGAATGGCATTTAGAAACCAAGTCTGGGGCCAGGCATGGTGGCTCATGCCTGTACTTCCAGCGCTTTGGAAAGCCAAGGCGGGTGGATCACTTGTGGTCGGGAATTCGAGACCAGCCTGGCTAACATGGAGAAACCCTGTCTTGACTAAAAATACAAAAATTAGCCAGGTGTGTTGGCGGGCACTTGTAATCCCAGCTACTTGTGAGGCTGGGGCAGGAGAATCACTTAAACCCAGGAGGTGGAGGTTGCAGTGAGCCAAGATCGTGCCACTACACTCCAGCCTGGGTGACAGAGCAAGACTATCTCAAAAAAAAAAAAAAAAAAAAAAGGAACCAAGTCTGGGTTCAAGGAGTGCTCATTCCTACTGGAGTGTTATGTCTAGTTTCTATCCATGGATACAACTAGAATAAATAATTTCAATCATTTGTTCATATTGATATTTCAAACTAAAATTTAATATACCTGGGACTTACTGTTTTTAATTTTTTTTAATAGTCTGAAGGGAGACTTTACTTCATCTCTTTGATTGAATATTTTGTCTCTTTTTTACTGAAAACTTTGGTTCCTACTAATATTAATTTGTAGGTTTCTTATCTATTTTATCCTATTCCAAATTATTTTTTATTTTTCTCTAACTTCTCATTACCAGTTGAGCATCAAATGTTGCCTTTTAAATCACTCTTTCATTCATTTCTTCTTTGAGAAGGTGCCACATGCTTGTCAAATTAAAGATACAGTCTTTCTCCTTTTAAATTCAAGGCTAACATTTTTCAAGAAGCACAGTGTTTTATGTGATGACCTCTGGTGCTGCCTTGATGTGTGAAATGTTTCTTTGCTTCGGCTTTCTACTTCCAGAGGTTTGTTGCATCGGACCAGTGTCCCCAAGGAAGTAGTTGATTATATCATCTTTGGCACAGTTATTCAGGAAGTGAAAACAAGCAATGTGGCTAGAGAGGTGGGTAAACAAACTTTATGTTGTTTAAAGAGAGAAATAGGAGAATCACATTGAATTTCAACTAATAGAAGTTACTTTTTAAAAGCCTTTAAAATCTCTTCAGTTACATTTAACCTAAGATGTAATCTTACAGCTTGAGTAATGTGTTACTTAATATGTAAAAGAATTGTAATATAAATCCAATGACATACACTATATTAGTTTATATTCATACTTTACTGTAAATCAGATTATTTGAGCTGTTTTAGGACATTTTTTCTTGTGTTAGGAAAACAGATCAGCAAAGTGTGGCTGATAGTATTTTTAGTAATGTTAGATATCATGGCTTCCAATTAATTTGAAATTTCAACGTTTTGCAGAGAACTAATTTCATGACTTGGTTTTTGTTAGCTGGAATTAGCCTTGCTTACTCATTTGTTCCCATCGACTAGATGGCATGTAAGGCAGTTTGTTTGTTTTTTTTAACTATTTCACAGGAGTTTACTTTTGCCCTAGTTGGCATAGCTCCATGTAGTGTTGATTGGGCAACCAAGATAACGACAGGCCTTGGAACTTCTGGGATGTGTCCTACAGGCGTTTCGCGGTGGAGAGTCCAAACACGTCTTCTGGGCTTTGTTTCAATTTGAAAGTGATTGTTTGGATGAAGTTGGCACCAAAAGCACATCTCAGTGTACTCAGCATTTTCTCTAGTTCTGGTCTTTGCTTGTTACATTGCTGAGTTCAGTATAGTTGTGAGCGTAATAACTTCTATCACTGTCGACTAAGAGACAAGGAAGGGCAAATGAGCAGGACTGAAAGTGCTTGTTTGGCTCCACCTCTATACCTATCAGAAATGTTAACACTGCTGAAGGTCTGGCATGACTGAAGTCTACCAAGATCAACAGTGTGCTGCTGAGGGACAGGAATGAATTAAAAACAGGAAGAGATTTTATTTCTCCTCTGAAATTTTTTGGTTTTCCCTGAACCTTGACATTTCTGAATGTTTCAAATATGACAGTTTCATGAGTACATCAAGGTGTTCACGATACATTTCAACTTTTTATATTCTGAAAATAATATATAAGGGCCCTTAAAATGTAAATAGTAAATTTTTTTGCTGTTTTCTTCTCTTGCTCAGCTTTTCATCCCACCCTTTCTTCCTTCTCCATCTCAAAATAATAGATAAATAAAAACAAATGTTTCCATTTTCTCTGTAATTCAGTTTTTTTTTTCTCTAAAACTAAAGCAATAATGTTTTTCTCTGGATTTTTCCTGGAAATTTTACATCCATATGCAGATCTCAGCTATTGATTGACAGGAGGTAGATTCCCTCTGCCTGCTCTATACTAATACCAATACCAGTTATGTTGTACTCCAGGTAATTTTTGCAGTGTCTGCAGGGAAAGATTGGGTTGAGGGGATACGTTATGAGAATGTCACTTAAAAGCTTATTGTAATCTAAAAGCTAACATTTCCGGCCAAAGAATTTTTTAGGCCCTATTACCTGTATTAATAATGTTAATATGTAGTCCTAAAGCCTTCTGGTGTTCCCAGGAACCTGACTTTATTGAAAGGTTCAGCGTATTTCCCTGTTCTCCAAATTAGAGGCATCTTCCTCCTTTTCCCTTAGTGCCCTGAGAGCAATTCAAACTTTGAATAGAAGTGTGTGGACAAGGGTCACCAATAGCCACATCTATTTAAAGCCCTTTCAGTCCTGAGAGTCATCTAGGGCCAAGGGCAACACATATTAGAAAGGCTCTTGTGAGAATTGAGCCATTGCAACCTAAGTGCCCCTTACACTTGTCCCACTGCAGAGTTCTCCTCTCCTGCCCCCTGAGATATTTGTGCCTCTCTACCTTTTGGATTGGTTTACGTTGAGAGGCTGACTTGCGGGTGCCTGGCAGAAGTTCTCAACAAAGCAGTGTTGGGCATTTAGAATCAGGCCTACCTATAAAGACCAGAATGAGGTCATGTTGCAGGTACATCACTGTAACACATTTCTGTTTCTATAGATTATGGTAAATATCATAAAAGTAATAGAAGTATAAAGGTAAAAGTCAATTAAGAGACATTAAATCTCTAATTGAGACTTTGGAAACATTTATTTTACTAAATTATAGGAGAGTTTGCATTCTGAGGAAAATAGTTTCAGGAAAAGACCAATAAAAATGAACTTCTTATAATGGGATCCAGTATTTCATAGTAAATAATGTGTGGGTGTGTATGTGGATTGGGGGGGAATCTGGAAGCTTAATTTCTAAAGTAAAACTTTAATACTATAAAAATAGGTATTTTATAATGCACCTATGCATTATTTACAGAAACAAAAATGGAATCAGACACTGATTGGTTTTTGGCAGCATAATTTCCCCCAATAAATAGCATAATAAAATTATAGACATCCTCATTTCATGTTTCACTTACACTGTGCTGTCATAATAGAGGCCATCTTTACAAGATAAATGACATCAGTTTTCCTTAAAGCCTTTCAGATGACAAATTATTCTCTTTGTATCATCTGTTATGCCATCATCCTGACCAGTTGTTAACTGGTCTGACCCTTATTTGTTCACAGGCTAACCTGTAACCCAGGCTGTTCTCCAGTTTCTTTCATTGAGTTGAGCTTCTGTATAGTTGACACGCTTTCCAATTCATCTTTGCATTGGGTCTGCAGTGTGCTATCTGAAGTATCAGATGGTCAGTAAGACTAGCTAGCAGTAAGCAGAAAGATAGGTATAAAGCAGACAGGGTCCTAAGTGGGAACTCTGTTTGTGAATCATCATTTCATGTTTGATCACTTTTGCTTTGCTGCTAAGCTTTGTGACTGATCATGAGACCTGATAACACAGATCGTGAGGACTCTACCCCATAATATATTTCATCATTCCACCAACTCTCTTTAATAGGTTCCTGTAAGTATATTTGAACATTAAACAAGTTAAAATCAAATTATATATTGATATCCTTCAAGGCCCTGAGCAAAGCATCATAAGAAATTAGGTGAGACAGAGGAGTATTGTAGCCTTGTGTCCACACTAGAAACCAGCCAGCAGGAATTTTGCAGATGCCTGTCAATTAATGGCAAGATTAAATATTAGTAAACCATTTCTGTGATGGGCTTAATTTTATTTTAAATATTGCTCTGGGGAATTTTAAACTGAAACCCTTTCCAGATGACCATGAAGATTGGTGTTCAAAGCATCATTTACATGATGCCCTTCCCTTATAGTGATCATTTCATTCACTGTCTTTCCTGAAGGCTGCCCTTGGAGCTGGCTTCTCTGACAAGACTCCTGCTCACACTGTCACCATGGCTTGTATCTCTGCCAACCAAGCCATGACCACAGGTATGTTTAAATGGAAGCAGATGATATATGTTAATTTTCCTCCTTTGTTTTTTACATTTAAAAATGTACCTTTTTTTTTTTTTTTTTTTTTTTTTTTTTTTAAAGACACAATCTCACTCTGTCACTCAGGCTGGAGTGCAGTGGCACCATCATAGCTCACTGCAGGTTCAAACTCCTGAGCTCAAGGGATTCTCCTGCCTTAGCCTCCCAAGTAGCTGGGACTACAGGCACTCTACCACATCTGGCTAATTTTAAAATTTTTTGTGGAGACAGGATCTTGCCATGTTGCCCAGGCTGGTCTGAAACCTCTGGCCTCAAGTGATGGTTCTACCTCAACCTCCAAAGTGCTGGGATTACAGGCATGAGCCTCTATGCTTGCATTGTTGTTGTTGTTGTTGTTGTTGTTGTTGATGGTTCTACCTCAACCTCCAAAGTGCTGGGATTACAGGCATGAGCCTCTATGCTTGCATTGTTGTTGTTGTTGTTGTTGTTGTTTAAATAAGATCAGGTTTAAAATTTGGGGGTTCTGTCTGACCATAGTTAACTTTTTTTTTTTGCTCTCCACACCTGAGAGACATTGCCTTTGGTGTGGTTTGTCCCTGAGGAATGTGGCTGGCTGCAGCAGGGTTTATCAACTGCAGGAGTATATCTCTAGGAAAGTACTTCAGCATCTGAGGCATGAATAAACAGTTTACAACCTGCCAGGCTTGCAACCTAGGTGGCTCAGATACGACATTTTCCCACAAAGTTACGGTCTTCCTTCCTTCACCATTACCATACTTGTAAATCATTGCTTTAGATGGCACAGCTCTTTCCTTCACTTTCTCCCCACATCCTTGGTATTTTTATAAATCACTGAAAATTCTCCTAACAAACTTTAGCAAAATTGTGGGATGTTTTGTAGCATCAGCCCTTAATGTGAGGAGACAGGAAGCCTGAAAGATTTAGTAATCATGTGCTCATCTAGTAACATCAAGGCCCAGGTGGGCAGCCCACCTCATGCATGGCAGAGAGTGATGCCCATGACTGGGGGCATTCACCACTCTAGGCAGCATGTGACCAACTCCCCGTTAGAGAAACCAAATACTGGCCAGTGGCCATAAGGAGAGAGGGGGCCTGCCTTACATTTCAACAGCTAGAATCTCTGCTTTGTAGCAGAAGTTAACATTCTCTTTATAGGATAAAAAAATCTTTTTTAAAACTAAAGCTGGGAGCATATAAATATGCAAGATGTTCTAGCTTGGAATATGATTTGAGAGTTGGTCCAATGGATATTTCCAGAAGTGGATGTCCATATGTCAGGAATGAAACTTTTTCTCTCTAACGTGTTGAAGTGTTTTTAGTCATTTAAAAAAATTATCTTAATTCTTCTGAACAGTTGAAAACTTTAATAATTACAGATGTTGTACAAAGTTGATAACTGTTACTCAGCTTTTTAATCAAGAAGCTTACATGGGAATGGTATGTTACTATAAACGATATTCATGAAGTATAACCTGTGCCTTCTAGGTGTTGGTTTGATTGCTTCTGGCCAGTGTGATGTGGTCGTGGCAGGTGGTGTTGAGTTGATGTCTGACATTCCTATTCGTCACTCAAGGAAAATGAGAAAACTGATGCTTGATCTCAATAAGGCCAAATCTGTGGGCCAGCGACTGTCTGTAATCTCTAAATTCCGATTGAATTTCCTAGCACCTGAGGTAAGGCTTGCATTTGCAGGGCATCCCACTGCAGAGATTTAGAATTAGGCATGGCAGTATGGACTCTGCTATGCTCTAATAGGTATAGATTCTATAGTTACAGGGTGGGGTTATTTGGTCAAGATTAAAAAAAGATGGTGGTTAGAAAACTTTCATTTGTGAGCCCTCTTTAGAGATCCTCTGCTCACAAAGAGCTTCTCTTGTCTTGGTCTTGATTGATTGATAGCAAACAAATGGATTTTAACTTTTCCAAATAAGACAAAACAATCCTAGGTGTTGGAATAACAGGACACTGTTAACAGTGTCCCTACTCCTCGGATATCTCCTTTCCCAGCTCCCTGCAGTTGCTGAGTTCTCCACCAGTGAGACCATGGGCCACTCTGCAGACCGACTGGCTGCTGCCTTTGCTGTTTCTCGGCTGGAACAGGATGAATATGCACTGCGCTCTCACAGTCTGGCCAAGAAGGCACAGGATGAAGGACTCCTTTCTGATGTTGTACCCTTCAAAGTACCAGGTAAAATGAAATGCTTTGTGACACTTATTAGGGAGTTCTGAGTTGCCTGAATTCCTCCTAAAACTCAAAAAAAATCCCAACGGCTTTTTCATAAGTATGTTCTGTTTCCAGAATATTCAGTCTTTATTCTTAAACATGGACTCAAATTTTGATTTATGTTGTAACAATAGGTAAACATTTTTTTAAAATTTCTATAAGAGTGTCCTTTTAAGGGCTGAGCACTATGACTCATGCCTGTAATCTCAGCACTTTGGGAGGCTGGGCAGGAGGATCACTTGAAGTCAGGAGTTTAAGACCAGCCTGGTCAACAGAATGAGACTTCATGTTTAATTTTAAAAAAAAGAAAGAAAGAAAAACAGTTTCCTTTTAGATCTTGCTGACATATTTTAGTTCTTATATACATGCCTGTTTTTAAAATTCCTGAATCGTTTGACTTCTGTATAGAATAGCCAACGGTGAATGAATGTCTTAAGAAAATAGGATGTCCCATTTTTAGTAAAGCATTTAGATGATTTCCCAAATGCCTTTTAAGAATTTAGTTTAAAACTTGGTGATACATGATAACAATAAACACTGTCCTTCTAGTGAATAGGTAAGGTTTATACTTCATTTGTTTTTGTAATTTTTAAAGCATATTTCTCTGGAGAAGATATATAAGGCTTGTAGTTCCATAGAGTTTTTAAAAAATCCTTTTTTCTATAGGAAAAGATACAGTTACCAAAGATAATGGCATCCGACCTTCCTCACTGGAGCAGATGGCCAAACTAAAACCTGCGTTCATCAAGCCCTACGGGACAGTCACAGCTGCAAATTCTTCTTTCTTGGTAACCGTCGATGCTATTTGTGTTTAGTGGTGACTCTTCTATTTCTGTACTCTTCATAGAAAAACCTAAAATAAATTTTTTTGTGTGTATTATGAATAGACGGTTAAAAATATAATTATGTTAAAATGGAGTCATTAAGAAAAAATAGACTCCATTTAATAGTTTTAAGACTAAGTATTAAGGCCTGAGAAGTCACCTAATCCAGCCACCATTCTGCTACAAAAGCGCTTCTCTTCAGGCGCTTAAAAAACTTTTATGGCCTATGGTGGGCCCTGGAAATGAAAATAGACAATTGCAGTATAATGAGATGCTGTGATGGCTGTAAGCATAGGCTAGTGGAGAAAATAGAGAACCCCTGACCCAGATGTGGGATAGTCAGAGAGTCTTGTTGGAAGAGGTAACACTTGAGCAGCAAATCTTGAAGGAAGAGTAAAAGCCAGTTTAAGTAGGCTTTTTAACAGGCACTCTGGACAGAGGGAACAGCAAATGCAAAATCAAGGAAGTACAGGGGCAAGGGCTTCTTTGGGAAAAATGTAGGTTGGAGCATAAGGTATGAACTGGGAAGTCGTAGAAGACAAGGAAAAGTAGGCAGAAATAGTAGCAGGATACTTCTTCCAGCTCTGATTATTAGAAAACTGCTTCACACTGAACCCAACATTATTTTCTTGTAAACATCATGAAACAATATACCCATTTTTTTTTAAACTTAGCCACATGTAGCTTCACATTCTTCCTTGCTTTTCTGACTCCTCCTCAATTAAACATCATTATTGATTCTCCTGCTGCTTGTAAGATGTGATTTCTCTTCTCTTACCACCTTGGCTATAGTCTTCTGGATATAGGCCATCTGGTCAAAGTTTCTTTTACAATATAACTCACCCACCTGGCCATAAAGTCGTGAAAACATAGGCAGGTGTTTGACATTTGCCCATGGTAAGTGACTAATTAATGCCTGCTCTTGATAGGCTAGGGGAGTGGTACCTGGAGTAGTTCCAACAGGATGGAACGCCACCCTGTTAAGCCCAGGTGAGGAAGGGCTGGTTCGATTGGTCATTTGCAAAACCAAATTGGATGATAGGGCTGTGTGGCATGGACTACACATGCCAGATCTGAATCTTTTTGATTACTTCTGGGATATGCTAAAGGCCCAGGTTTATTCAGCAAGAATCAGAACACAAATCATCAGAGGTGACATGTCACAATACATGGATTTTGGGGACTCATTAGTGCACCACATTCATTGCAGTTTTCCACAGCACATTGAACCTGTTAATGTAATGTCTGTAAACCGTTTATTCCATATGGTCACCTGTGTCTCCAGACTTTATGGACACCCTGTTGGTGGCTACATAGTCTCTTCAGGGTTGCTGAGTTATAAAAATATGACAGAGGGCCGGGCGCGGTGGCTCACGCCTGTAATCCCAGCACTTTGGGAGGCCGAGGCGGGTGGATCACAAGGTCAAGAGATCGAGACCATCCTGGTCAACATGGTGAAACCCCGTCTCTACTAAAAATACAAAAAATCAGCTGGGCATGGTGGCGCGTGCCTGTAATCCCAGCTACTCAGGAGGCTGAGGCAGGAGAATTGCCTGAACCCAGGAGGCGGAGGCTGCGGTGAGCCGAGATCGCGCCATTGCACTCCAGCCTGGGTAATGAGAGCAAAACTCCGTCTCAAAAAAAAAAAAAAAAACGAAAGAATGTGGTAGAACTTATTTTGATCTTATAAATTATAAAGAATAGTTTCCTTTTCTTTGGAATTCTGGACTTTTGAGGAAAGCTTTTCTTTTTTGAAGTATGATGAGGGACTTTTTTTCAGTAGTGCTTCCTTGTCCTCCAGGTTCTCGGTTGTTATTTGGGAAGAAATGTATGGGGCGTATCCAAAGAGGGAAGGTTGTGGTTTTAATGTTCTCAGCTGACTCTCCCATTGGTTTGCTCATTACAGAGTATATAAGCAGAATAAAATGACCTGTAAGTCATGGGCAGAAAGCAGCTGAGAAACAGCCCAGAAAATGTAAAAATAAATAAATATGAGATATGTTTATTTTGGTTCATATTTTGTGCCAAAAGCCAAAAACTTTGGCTTAAATAAGTGTTTATTATGAACATTTCTTTTTTTTTTTTGAGATGGAGTCTCGCTCTGTCGCCCAGGCTGGAGTGCAGTGGTGTCATCTGAGCTCACTGCAACCTTCACGTCCTGGATTCAAACAAGTCTCCTGCCTCAGCCTCCCGGGTAGCTAGGACTACAGGCATGTGCCACCACACCCAGATAATTTTTTGTATTTTTAGTAGAGATGGGGTTTCACCGTTTTAGCCAGGATGGTTTCCATCTCTTGATCTGATCAGCCTGCCTTGGCCTCCCAAAGTGTGTGAGCCACCATGCTGGGCCATGAGCATTTATTTCTAAAGTTACTTTTTGCGTTGATTCATTTTGATAATTATGATAGTATTGAACAGCCTCCTCTACCCTCATCCTCCAAAAATGAGTCGGTTTGTGTGTGTTTGAATTATGATTTAATGATGGATACAGTGAAGTAAGTGGTGTTCTACAGAATCTCTGTATAAGTCTAATGAGTTAATAGAGTCAGTTACAGAATATATAAGATGGCTAGAGAAAGACCTCCAGATAGGCTGAAGAATTTTAACGTTGTGCTGGTTGACATTTCAGACTGATGGCGCATCTGCAATGTTGATTATGGCAGAGGAAAAGGCTCTGGCCATGGGTTATAAGCCGAAGGCATATTTGAGGTAAAGTAAATGTTCAAACAAATCATCTCTGATTTCTGTATTACCAGAGCTCACCTATCTATTTTTTCACCCTATTTTTTTTTTTAAGGGATTTTATGTATGTGTCTCAGGATCCAAAAGATCAACTATTACTTGGGTAGGTAGCAGTTTGTATCCTTGGACTATAATCACAAGTATTTGATTGCCCACATTTTATTATACTGGTTAATAAATGGTTAACACTGGTCTATTATTTATTTATTTATTACACTGGTTTGAGAGTATATTAAGCCCTGAGTTCATAATTGGTTTATGTGGTGTTTTTTGTTGTTTTTTTTTTTAATAATACTTTCCTTTGGTATATCATTTTACAGTTTCGGATTATTTTCCATTTTTTCCTATAAGTTTTACATTTGTGTGTGTGTGTGTGTGTGTGTGTGTGCGCGTGCACGCACACGCATGTATATATGTAGTATACAACTTGTATTCTTTTCCATTAAGATATCATGGGCATTTTTTCATATGGCTACACACCCTGCTACACAATCTTCCTAATAGCCTTTTATAAAAGCCTCCCAATGTTGAGACTCCCTCCCGCTCCCTCACAAGGCTGTAGCGTCACTGGCCTCCACTGTGACCTTCACATCAATCAAGCCCCTTCCCTTGCCTTGCTCCAACTCTGTGAACTCTGTTCTTCTAGTTCTTCAAGGTATTAGCTTGTCCTTATCCCTCACTG